CAGGTGGCTTTGAGCCAAGGGACACCATCCTTGGCCAATTTCCCCCAGCCACGGCCTCTGGGAACTGGCAGTTCACTGTGGTCCTTGCCAGGGATTCCCCAGAGCATTTCTCTGGTCTGACAACAGGGAGGGAGCAACCAGCTTGTGAGGGAAGCCCAGGGGTGATGACGCGGAAGCTTCGGACACCATACACGACGACCAATGTGATCAGGTAGATGCCACTTTATTGCACAGATAGCTCAGCTTTTATAGACAAGTCACAGGTGACACCTTTATAGTGGACCTTTATTAGCAGGTGATAAATAGTTACATGCTTTATAGTTGGCTATTATTAGCTGTTTACATGTACAGTCTTTTCTTTTTTTTTTATTCTACTCAAGGTCCTACTTATCAGTACATTCAGAAGACAGCTACTCCTTTTCTGCCAGCTTCATTAGTTTACAAATCACAACCGTTTAGTAACCTCGAGGCCTGCACTGTTGTCCAGGGCCTGGACTATTGTCAGAGGCCTATTGTCAACAGCTGCCCAGAGCTTGGGGTGCTCACAGGATGACCATTAATTTCTAAGAGTTCTCCCACAGGGACTGTCCAGCCCAGAGAAGAGAAGGCTCGGGGGAATCTTCTCAAAGCATCTCAACAGCTGAAGGGAGGGTGCAAAGGTGACAGAGAGCCAGGCTCTTGCCAGTGGTGCCGGTGACAGGACAAGATGCCATGGGCACAAACAGAAACACAGAAGGTTCCCTCTGAACATCAGGAAACACTTTATTACGGTGAAGGTGACCAAGCACTGGTACAAGTTTCCAAGAGAGTGTCCATCCTGGGAGAAGGTCAAAAGACAACTGGACATCTATGGTGGCTTGACCTTGGCTGGACACCAGGTGCCTGACAGGTTGCTCTATCATTCTTCCTCTTCAACAAAACCCAAAACAACAAAGTATAAGAAAAAGGACCAGTAATTTTTTCTGAAAACACACCTTCCAGGAGAAGTATTTATTCCATGTTGCCACAAAAAAAAAAAAAAAAAATTTTTTTCATCAACAAAAAATATCTCCCTC